CTAAATGAATGAAAAAGAAATACATAAAACATATTACTTTAAGTGTGGCCAAACAAGCTCAAAAACACTTTAATTTAAAAGTCCATTTTAAATGTATATATTATATTAGTTATTTATTTAAAATGGACTCTTAATATATAGATGTATCTATGCAAGTATGCATGCATGTGTGTGTGTGTATATATATATATATATATATATATAAGCACACACATATATAATGTAAACAAAAACAACAAAAAAAAAAAAAAAAAAAGAAAAAAAAAAAAGTCAATTAAGATGAAAAATAAATAAATAATACAAATAGGTAAATAAATGACCACCAGGGCCATCATCTGAGAGGGACTGGAGTCCGGGGGAGGGAGGACCCCCACCTATAAAAATTGTAAAATATTTGCCCCAGGTCCTTTAATTTAAGTGACAGTGCTAAACACCACATTAAGCATGCATATTTAAAATAATTTCTGTACAAAACATGCCAACACAATGAATTATAAATGGGAAGACAAAAGAAGGGAAAAGAGGAAGCCTTGCAGTTTTACAAACCACATGCAAGCAGCAACCAATTAAGAGAACATGTTTGTGTAAGAAAGAAAGAGGGAAAGCAGTGTTGTTGCATTTCTATTCAGCTGGCTTGTGGCTTTAATGACCACATCCTCCACTCAGTATTCCTTGCCTGTCCTTAATGATTAAGCTCTGCTTTCATCTTAAACCCCCACAAGAAACCATGTGCTGCATAAAGCTTGTGCAAACACAACCAAAACCTTAATGAGAATCCTAACTCAAACAAGTGCATCTGCTACAGCACCACTGCGGCTTACACTAAACAAATTCCAAATAAAAAAAAAAAAAACAAGGAAAATATAGATAGCAAAGAACATGGTGTACACTTAAGCTCAGTTTGCGGCCAAGCATTTTCTTGCTTCATTAGAAGGACTTCCAGCATTATCCACATATCTGCCAATGTAAACAAAAACAAAAAAAGTCTTCCCATATAAAAGGAAGTGTGATATCGTAATGTGATATCTTACCCGAAGGACTACAAAAAGCATTTATTCGGAGTAAAAAGCCCAACAATATTTATGAATATATTTATTTTCTAGGCAGTCTGGGATTATGTCAACCCTCCCTTCTCTGAAAAACATTAACCATCCTGTCTTGATAATCATTAAAATATAAAAATCCCCAACAGACACGTGCAAGAAAAAAACCCATCCACAATCCACCTCAACGTGACTTTAGCGGCATGATTTAAAATGCACTGCCCCATTACAGATCACCCCAGAAGGTGGTTTCAGTAAGACAATGCAAACTACAGACAGGCCGTTTGCGCATTTACTGGTAAGAGGTTAATTAGTGAGGCCAAGTGAGAATGGACTCGTCCAAATGGTACTTCCCCAGGCAGGATGTGCTCTTCAATGGGCTTTAAATTAACAAACCAAGGCAGAGCAGATTGTTCCTGGTGATCTTACTAAAATCCCCTGCTGGAGTTCTCTTGCTCAGAGCTGGTTTATATCCGCAGATCGACGAGCTCTGGAGAGGACTATGTTGAAACGACAGGGGGCATGTTAATAAAACCTCTCCGAGTGGAAGTATGGCTTTAAGACCAGTTCTGATGTTATAACTCACAGCGATTGAATTAATGAAGTCAGGGAGGGTAATTTGATCCCAGATCAGCTCTGATATTCTTACTGAACCAATGCCAGATCCTCATAATCTCACAGCCTGTGGATGTCTACTTCAGCAGAACATCCAGACTGAGCCGTAAATATTAATACTGGCTGCCACAAACATAGGAATGAATGAAAACAAATGGATTAGACTAAGAAAGAAAGAAAGGGCCAGACAGATGAGACTGGAGTGATTACATGAGGAATATGCAACACTTATAGGAGTGTTTTAAGGGGGTGGCCCATCTCAGATGACAGACACATTTGTATGCACTCAACGACACCAGACGGATTAAACGACTGAGCTTCAAAGTGGCTGATGTAATTGATTTTGAAAGAATAAACATTGCTCTTTTAGAGTATAAAGTCAAAATTTCAAACTTCACTCTGGCTTATGAACATTATGAACATGCATGGAGCAAAAGAGGTTTGCTTTCCAACTTGGCCCAAGTGCAAATACCAGAGCAGAGAAATGAGTATGTACTGAACAGATGGGTGCATGGACAGTGGCATCATGTGTTATAGCACAATCACTAAAAGAGTGCATTCCACTGTGTTTTCCCACTTAAAAAGAGCTGTACACTTCCTGTATGATGCACATTGACTGGTTACACTATTAGATCAAATATTGCTGTATACAGTTGAATAGTTACAAAGTTAACCGAGACTCACCCAGAAGTGTGCATGACAGTTCACCACCATGGTTCTCTCAATCAGCTCATCGGGGCACTCCAGCAGGTGGTGGCCGGACACAACACCAGCGTTGTTGATCAACAAGTCCACTTCACCGACCTCCCTGCGCACTTTCTCTGCTGTGGAGTACACGCTTTCCCTCTTGCCCACATCAACCACATACGTATACACCTGCGGCTGGAATGGAGGGACCTCTTCCACACCACCAACAGCTCCTTTGGGAAAAACACAGATCATCTGAGAGGTAGAGAATCACAAAACTTTCCTGTGCACCTTAAGCTTCATTTGATAAGAATTTCATTAAGTATAAAAATAAATAGAAAACCACCGCAACTCCTGATAAATCATAAAAGCTGTTGTGTAGGAGGGGAAAAAAAGTAGTAAATAATCTAAAATAATAAAAAAGATGAATTCCACACACTGGTATAGCTTGCAAATTTAATACGATTTGGGCATGTGACCTTCATCAGGTGAACAAGACTAAAATGTATTAAAATTCGCAAGCTATAGCAGCCTGCAGGAGTTTTTATTTTATTTTTTATTAATATAATTAATTGTTTCAGAGTTAGAATCTGCATCAGGCATTTGGCAAAAAATCTCTGTCATGGAGCCAAAATGTTGAATGAATGTATAACTAAGATAATTGTGGCAATAGGTAACACTATGGCCTAATTTATAAAGATAGACCGATAACTGGCCATTCAATATCTACTAACTGGTGGAATTTTTGGGTGAACTATCACCCAGAACACCATTGCCACTGTGTGTTCAACATAAAACAATGGTGTTCATAAGCAAACTTACATATGATTATAACATCTTTTGAATAATTACACGACTTTTACAGCCAGTCATTCGCAAGCGACAAGCATGTAGAATTTTAAGATAATAATAAATGTAAAAATAACATTTGGCTGGAGTGCAACGACTTAATGGCAATAATAACAGTAATATACTTTTAATACTTTAATATTTATTAAATATTACATATAAATGTCAGATTACAATATTCAATTCAAAACATTCTCTTGCGTTTGTTTGTCTTGCCAATAAGGGAAAAAATAGGCTATAAAAAGTCGATTCTGCACATCGGTTATTGGACATTTAAACAAAATGGGTGATGACCCATATTTACCCATCTTATTTATACATCAAACATTCAAGAAGTAACGTTACATACACAAAACAAGATTAAATACCTACAAAGACAACGCTACCCTAGTCTAAATATAATAATTAGTTAACTTTAACCAGTTATTTTTAAGACAGGTTAGTTCAGGTAAACAAATAAGAAATCATGACATTTACCCTCTTTAGTCATCGGGTTGTCTTGCTCTCTGTAGATCTGTCGCACCATCTCGGCAGTTTCCTCATTGCTGTGGCTGTTGATGTCCCACAGCACCAGTGTAGCCCGGCGCCGGGCGAACTCTTTGGCGAAGAGCCGCCCGAGTCCGCCGCCCGCCCCGGTGATCACGCACACCTGTCCCGCTACGCTCTTCTCCTTCGGCCGTATGAGCCACTTGAGTCCGGCCATCACGATGGCCCCGAGAACTTTGAGCATGACCACGAAAAACTCCACGACAATGTTCATTATCATGTCTAATGCCGCGCTGTGACTTTGTTTAAATAACGATGAACGTCTCACAATGTCCAGTTACACCTAAATGACTAAACAACCTGAGTTTTGCTGTTGTGCTGCTAGCATCAGCATATAATTTATTCTTTAACTATCCGCTTATTCAAGGTTATGGGGTGAACATCCAATTAACTCCAACTGTCATACAACTACTAATATACATATATAAAATCGTCTAAACCAGTCAACAAGATAACGCATTCAGAATAGGAGCATCACAAATAAAAGCACTAATATAACGCTACAATGGGCGTGAAATACAGCCGAATCTCCCCGGCAGCGAATGCCCGTATGAAACCTATCGTATCCCGGCACGGATGCGCTCGATAGCTGCCGGTGCGCCGCTGCTCTGGGAGCCAGACCTCATCAGAGCCGCCGCTGCTGCTTGGGCTCTATTTAAACCAGCCCCTCGCCACAGGACCCCACAGAGTGATTGGCCGAGATGCCTGATTGAAAGTTACATCTACTTAGCTTAGCTGTGGACGTTTGGGAAGACAGAGTGGATATGACTAATTTGTATGTGGTTGTATTTTTTAATGCAACGAATTTTATATCAATGCATATAGTATGGAATTTTGTAGGATTTGTGCTTTGCTTGGAGCAAGTCAAATTTCCAACAATAGGCCTACAGCAAAAGCAGTTTTTGTGATAACAATGCGTTGTTATACAAGCCCAAAAAAGATCATTGTAGTGGTAAAAATAGCAATGAATGAAAGAAAAGTGCATCTGAAAATGAAACATTTTAAACCTCTTCATTATTTTATTCAGAAAAATACACTGTAAATCATTTGCGCATTACATTTTGTATATCATTTATATGGACACCAGCTGAAGTATAAACAAACTGGATCCTAAAACCATAAAACTGTGAAGGCTTTGCATGTTTGTTCCCATGCAATACAAATGAAGTCTGAGAAAGAAAACAATTATTTGCCAGAACACTGTTACCAGATGGCAAAGGAGAAAACAGTAAGTCACTGGGATAGCTGAGTTCTTTAAGAATGGATCTGGGCTTTCTGAGACATCCTTCTCAAGAGATGCTGGATAGCTCGTGGCTAGTCTTCACTGCCCTCTGCAGTTCTTTGTGTTCAGATACAGATCAGTTTCTTAAGTGTCTGCGGCCAGCAGGAATACTCTCAAATGGTACATCTGTAGAAGTTTGTCTAAATCAGTCCTTCCTTAGTCTGACATGTTTTCTAGACCACAGGGCATAGTGGTGATGGTGGCTAACCCTCTCAATAGCAGATCTATTGATGTGACTGGATGTGCGATCACTGTAATGGCTCCTGTAGTTCACAATCTTCTCCCTGGCCTTGTTCGAGGAGCAGTCATTGTCCTGGCACCAAACTGCTTCAGCCGCCCTAGTAAAACTTTTAAACCTCATTCCACATTTACCAAAAACTGCCAGAAAGTGACCAAATGCAAAGAGTTGCTGGGAGAGGATTCATCTGACAGCAGTCTAAGTAGTTTGTGAGGGCTTCTAGTTATTTTTTACATAAACTAATCATTGAATCTATGACATGAATAAATGATGCATCCAAACAATCCACTTGCTCACATTATAAACAGGTTTTAACCAATGAACATAGTATTCCATAGAAACCAGCTGATTATAGTCAATAGAGCATTTGCGCTTCAGTGTCTCAAAATACGTCATGTTAGTGATTGAATGTGTTACTGGACGCCTCAGTACTTCACTGGTTGTGTTGTCCATAATTGAACAGATTACTGAAAATATGATTAGCTAATTTAACCTTTTATGCACGTCTTAATGAATAATTAATGCAATTCAGTCATCCTTAATTCTGATATATTGAAGGTTTAGTTTGCTATTAGCTAATGTTTTTAATATCTGTTCATCCGCACGTTATATGAATAAATCATGAAACAAACAAGGCATATCTGCTTTCCTACCATATTTTGGAAGGGACAGTTTCATGTATACAAAAAAAAATGAATAATAACAAATAAAAATAAATAAATGCTTTTACAAGATCGCCACCTCTTGGACTGACACTGTAATTACATATTGGTTTAATTCGTGTTTTAAAACTTCGTAACATTAGTTTTATGCAGTACAGTAAACAAATAAGTAAATAAAATAAAACATACATACAATTCACTAATCTAGGCAAATTTTCTGTGACTAAACTAATTCTAATTAAAAACCAACGAACTGCGTGTGGTTATGTTATAAATATACACGTATACGTTTACGTTTGTATGAGTAAAATCAAATACAATTTTGCGTTTATCCTGTCCACTTATCCATGTAATGATGACTCTATTACTAATTATCTAAACGCCTGTCACTAAACTGTTGTGTCACGTGGTTTTGGCAGTAACTATGGAAACGTCCACGCAATGGACTATCTATCAGCTTCCGTTTTTTACTTTTATTCACCGCTGTATATAGGAGTTGTGTGTGTGTGTGTGCGCGTTTTTGTGACAAATGAGGACATACATTTGTATAATGACAAAGGTATGACATAGGTATTACAAGGAGAAGGTGACTTTTCAGGACATTACCCCATGTCCCCACTTTTCAAAACGCTTATAAATCACACAGAATGGAGTGTATTGAAAATCTGAAATAGCACAAAGTTTCCTGTAAGGGGTAGGTTTAGGGGTAGGGTTGGTGTGGGGCAATAGAATGTACGTTCTGTACAGTATAAAAACCATTACGCCTATGGGATGTCCCCACTTTTCACAAAAACAAACCTGTGTGTGTGTGTGTGTGTGTGTGTGTGTGTGTGTGTGAGTGAGTGGTTGTTTTCTTTGGTTTCATCTTTGGTTTCTTATATCTATATAGAAACTTCCACAGCAATCTATGCAAAGACTGAATAAGTCACTAAAGTTGCCAGGTGTATTTCTACACAAACACACTGGCAACATGAATTCAACCACTATATATGACACATTATTCCACATTGTTTGTGTCTTTCCAACTTCACAGGACACTGCTTCCATTTCTAGCCAAAAATAGCTCAAACGTAACCTCACAAAACAATGTGTATGCCAGTGATATTTGTGGCCGGCATTTTTTATTTGATAAACGATGGAAAAATGGAACTTGCATCACTATTGGCATTGAAGGTACAGTATTTATCCTTTTTATAATTTTAAGATAGTAATTAATTATGCCTGAGACATTCATTGTATCATTATTAGTACACAAATGGGGATAAAAGGGCAAAAAACGTATCTTAATAGGCCTACCATGTGTATTCAGATTATGATACTGTCATCATTATTTGATGAGATGGAACAAATGTGTAATTGGTAGTTTCAGTGGGGTAGCCAATAGATGGCGCTCACAACATGCATGAATATTTTTGCAGCACATCATTTCAGCATCATCATCATCTCTTTAGATCGAAGTAAAATTAGTCACGGAATGCTTTTGCCATTATTTTAGTTTAACGTGGTTAGATGATTCTGTTATTTATAGATGCTTCTATTACTTTCGTTGGAAACTTTGTATTAATATGTTTATTCTCCCAAACAGATGATGTTCTGATTAACCACAACCCTACAAATCCACTCTCTCAGGAGTTTCATGTTTATCGCTCTCACAATCTAACCAGATTTGCCCACCGCAAAGAACTCTGCCCGCGCGACCCAAGACCACTTATCTGCGGGCGAGTTCTTCAAGACTGTTGAAATATTGCATTACAATTTTTTTCATCCAATTGCTAATTTTCTCTAAATCAATTCCAGGTCTGATTATCTGGCTTCATTTCCATCAGTTCTGTTACCAGCCACCACCCCATCTGTCAGTGGACAACTCTGTTTATCACAAAACTATAAAAACAGGTAACAATGATTATTTATTTATTTATTTATTTGGCTAACATATTGTGTTTATTGCATACTTATTCTACTCTCTCATCGTACTTTCTGCATTTCAGATTAAGGATGAAAAATAGAGCACGCTATCTCTTCTCTGATGGTGCTAACAACAAAAGTGAGCATTTCAGCTTTAAGCTTAAAGCTAATGTTTAAATGCTTATTAGTTAGCATCAATGAACAGATTTATTGTCATTTATCTTGTGATAACTCATCTAAATAGACTATTTTTGAAAGCTTACTTATGTCAGTTGGCGCTGGTAAATTGAGCACATAGCATGTGTTATTTAGGTGTTTGCTCTGTGTTTAACAGGTGAGATATTTCACTTCACTCCTGTTACAGATTCAGACCACAGACACTGATGAATTTCACATGTTTTTCATGAGCTCACAAATGTTGAATACACACACTTAACTCACTTAACACTTAAGTACACACACACACACACACACACACCTCACGTCCCCCCACCAGACTGTAAGCCATTATTGAAATTCCCAGTCTATTGTATGAGGTGAGAAGAGCGTTACCTGTGTAAACCTGAATAAGCAAACTGTGCATTTGTCTAACCAGCCTGTGGGCCGGTAATTGTTTTTCAGCCCAGTCGTACCCTGATCCACACCTGGGTGCCTCGGCCTCTTTTGTTCAGAGGCTCACAGAGATTTCCTCTCTGGAAGCAGAAACAGTGCGGCAGGAGAGAATGAAGAGACTCAAAAAGATCAATAGGCAGGACTCTTAATCGGAGTTCATTAGCCAAAGAGGAAACACTTGACTCCAGAAATCACAACTGTGCCAAGATGGAGTAAATAAAGTCAAGGAAAAACTTGAGAGGTACAGAGTGTTGTAGCGCAACCACTATATTGTAACTGAAATGAAATGAAAACGATGACTGTAGCAACCATTTACATTCCTGATGTAAAACTATCAGGGATTGTTGAATTTAAATTCAAATTTACATGAAAGTGTATCGTGTATTCGCCAAGAGTAACTGCCTTAACATTGCCTTAAACTACAGTGATGATGGAATTATAGCACTTATATACGTTTTCTAAATCGTGTTGCATATATGAAAAAAACTTTATGCTTTGTGTACTGCCTTGAGTACTTAATATAATCCAAAAAAACATATTTTTGTCAAAGAAACAAATTCTTTCAACAATATCTAAAAGTTAAGAACTGCATTATAAAATAATATGAAACTAAGTGTATAATATTTTTGATTGATAGATTTGATAGCCTCATATATCAGCCAATAGATATAATCACAAACAAATGGCTGCTGTATGTTTTAGCTGATAATAAACTGTACATTAGAGATACAGCAGTAGTTGAACTCAGGTGGGAGGCTGCATCTTTGTGCAGGTTCTCCTGGAGAGCGTGGGAGAGCTCCATTCTACACCAAAGTGTCTTTTGTCGAAAGGAAAAGGGCCAGGTTGATTTGGTTCAAGACTAGGTTGGCACATTCTGGGCAGAGAGAAGAGAGATAATGTATTTTTGGCTTCAAGACTTCATTACAGGAACCACCTGCAATGAGAAGGATATTATTATTTTAAGTTATTATTATTATTAAATAACGATAAATAATAATTATA